CCACAAACCTCACCGCACTGAAGGGACTGTTCTTTACTTGTCAGGGGAGGAGGGTGGCTGGTTGATTTTTATTTTATTTATTTGTTTTATTTCAATCCCCCCTATGTTAATGGGTTCGTTCGAGATGAGCCAGGCCTGCGCAGATTCGATCACCGGCGATCGGCGCACAATGCATGCTGGTTAGTTTTGTGTCCGACTTCATCCTGACTTGCTCTTACGTATTACAAAAGTGGACGGCGATAAAACCGCGAGAGCGAGGCGGCTGCAGTTTTTAGAGCCAGGGCGCTGCAGTTGCTCTCCACCGACTGCACCACCTGGCTCTCACCTGATCTAACAGCTGATTGGTTTATATGTCGACTCAACAATATGACGTTTTAGATAAACTACTCATTTTTGTTGAATTTTAGAGATTAAGATTGTATTTGTCTGATGTGAAGGTTTATTCTGTGAACAGAAAACATGTTGTGTGACTGATGGTGAAGTTTAGTTGTCAGAGACTGAACACATTCATCATAAACTATACAGAGTCTACTGTACTATATTAATATTGGACGGTTTAATTATTGAAGTATTTAGCAACACAGAGACTTGTGGTCAGTGGGATGTGAGGATTCTTAAAATAACGTCAGATGTGAAGCCCTGACTGGATCTGACTGAGCCTTAATGAAAGCTGTTGTCTTGTATTTTTTTTCCTCTGAAAATATGAACCTTATAGTCAAACACAGTGTATTCAGCCTGTGTAGTTGAGGGGACAGGTCAAACTGATATGACGCTGATTTACAGGAGAATTCATATCAAGTGGAGGATAAACCATGAACATAAACTACAGATCACCTGTAAATCATTTTAATAAATTAATCTATCATTATTAAAACAACTGGAGACTGAAAACAAACTGATATATGGGTCTGATCACTTTTTTAATGAATTGACATCATTCCAGACAGGATGTAAGTGTGTCTGTGACTTCCTGTACGGACTGAAGGCTGCTGGAAACTGTCGGGAAACTGTCCGACTTCACCATGGCTTTTTGTCACCGCCCCCCGCTGCGACCGCCTGCTCTCGTCTACTTTTCAGGCGAGGCGCAGTTCATCTCGAACAAGCCTATTCACTTATTGATGCTGTTTTTGAAGCATGAATAAGTCAATAAGTAATTTATTCCATTGAAATATCATTGATGTATTATAGAAAAGTGATTTATCTTTTTATAAATGGCAAAAGGCACATCTGCCTCACTTTTGCTGTGGTATCGTGATACTACTCAGAACCGTGATACTTTCACTGGTATCGTACTGTGGGTCCCAATTTTGGTACCGTGACAACACTACAGTGTGACTGGTCTGCAGTGGGGAGTGTTAGCTCGTGTTGTTTCACAGATAAAAACAGAGTTCACTGTTAAAGTCGACCTGAAAACTTTAGTTATTCAAATAAAAGTTGCAAAAATAATCAAACTATGTTAAACTAACTCTCCATTACTGTCACATCAAACATCAAATAATATAACAATACTGCTACACTGCTGCTTATATTGTTATTAGAGTGGAAATATTTGAAAGCAGGCCAAACATTTTTCATTTGCCATGACTGTAACTTCCTGTCTGAGTGGCGCTCAGAGTTCAGACAGGAAACAGGCCTGTAAATGAGCTTGAAGCTAACGCTAGCTGTGACTGTAGTTCAGTCACTGTGCTTTGGTTTTTACCTCTGTTTTGTATTTCTGGCTAAATTCACATGTTGTTTTTATCTAAACTGACACATTTCTATGGTATAATATTCTTTATAAGGTAAAACAGATGTAAAACAGTCAGATTGTGGTTTGAACTAAACTTTGAGCAAATATTTAGTGTATTTTGTCTCTGTAGGACAGTGAACTCACCAGTGTTTGTTGTTGAGAAAAACCTGCTGGATTCACTTGAATGTTTCTTTAGAGAGAAACAGAGAGACTCGTCTCCACTGCAGCTCTGCTGTCACTCACACACACTTTCACTTTCACTTTGATTTCAGGACTTTAAAGCTCTCCTCTTTCACTGTTGCTCCACCTCTCAGTGGGCCGTCACCAAGAGGGAGAGGTGGAGGAAGTATTCAGATCCTTTACTGAAGTCAAAGTACTAATACCACACTGTGACAATACTCCACTACAGGTAAAAATCCTCTCTTCAAATCCTTCCCTCAGTAAAAGTTTGATCAGGAACATTTATTATAAGTATGTGTAAAATGACTGATAGTGCAGTAAAGTGTTCCCTGCTGTCAGTGTTTTATTCTATCTGATGTTTTTGGATTAATATTCCTGCTGCATTAATGTGTATGTGTCATTTTACTGCTGTCCATGTTTCAGGTTGAGCTCATTTGAACTCCTTTATATCCTGTTGGGGAGTTTAATCTACAGCAATGCATCATGGTCTATAAGATCATCATATGTCTGTAGCGTGGCTGTCCTGTGAGAACCACGTATCTCTAAAGAGTCATAAAAACAGCCTGTTTTCAGCTTTGTGACGACGACTTTTCAGCTGATCGAAGAGGGTTTTTAAAGAGTTTATTTAGCTTCAGAAGGAGGAGAATTTTCTCAGCTCATAAAGGAACACTTCATCCTTCAGTTTATCACAAACATTCAGCATCAACACATCTGGAGATACATGCTTTTCACTGGACAGGAAGGCGCTAAAGCTGTCAGACTAATGTAGTGCAGTAAAAAGTACAATATTGACCTCTGAGATGTAGTGGAGGAGAAGTATGAAGCTGCAGAAAGTGGAAACAAGTACCTTAAATTTGTACTTAAATACTGTATTTAAGGAAATGTTGTTGTTGTTCAACCCCACCTCTGTGTGACCAGGCACTGAAGGCCAGCAGCCATGATGAGAGACTCAAACACTGTGTGTGAAACCAGCTCTGCTTTCAGTAGATCAAAGTGTGAAACCCATCAGTCAGAAACAAACCCTTTAATATTCTCTCTTAGTTTAAATGTTGCAGATCCGACTGCTGCAGCAGAGCTGCTGTAATACACAGACTCAGAGCTAGATGGCGCACAAGACCTGTAAGTTTTTGCCCTGATATTGAATTCAGTGAACTTCCCTTTAAATACAACATGTCTTTGCTTGAACTTCATTTCTCACCAAACTGCTGAGGCACACTGGTAAAGTTTGGCTGTTTGATTCAAAGTTTCAGCAATCTAACAATAAACTTTGGAGGGATATTTTATAAATACCACAACTGTGAAATGAATTCCTGCAGGATCATTTAGCCTGTGTGTTTGTATTTATGCTTTTTCTGTAATACCAAGTGTTCCTACAACTATATTAAGTTTGGTCATATCAAACAATAGAAAGCAGTATTTAACTCTTCCTCTCTCAGTTTCCTTAAATATCCTATTATGTGTTTCCTACATGTGTAATACAGGTAGTTGTATCATTTATGAATGTATTATTGGCAGCATGAAAGGATTACTGAACAGGCCTACAGGGTACAGGCCCAGGGACCCATCGTGTAAGGGGGGGAGCCCTGGCCTTCACCTGCATGATGTCACTCATATTGACATGTACTGATTTGCAAAAGATTCAAAATGACCACAAAGGGATGTGAAGGAACTGCAAAGAGTCACAAAGTAACTACAACAGGGGCAAAACAACCCCCCAAAAAAGACACTGAATTATCTTACAGAGACACAACATAATGACAGACACAATATACAAGAAGGGGCAAAACATATCACAAAGACCCCAAATCACCTCCAAGAGACACAAAACTATTACTGTTCCATCTGATTTTAAGACGGCCAGAGTTTTACCCCTTTACAAGAAGGGCAGCAAGCTTGGTGAGGGTAATTATAGACCTGTATCTATGCTATGTGTAGTGTCCAAAATTATGGAAAAATTCATACATGAACAGACTGAAGAGTACCTACATAAAAATAAGATATTTTATCAGTTCCAGTCAGGCTTTAGAAAATTATACTCAACTGAGTCCTGCCTGTTGTTTTTGACTGATAAAGTTAGAAAAGAAATTGATCAAGGAAAACTTTGTGGAATGGTTATGCTCGACCTGCAGTAGGCGTTTGACACGGTCGATCATGGCATTTTAAATTACAAATTAAGAGCTCTTGGTTTTAGTGACAGTGCTTTGAAGTGGGTAGATTCCTACCTTACTGACAGACACCAGAGGGTAGACATAAATGGAATGTTATCCATCCCAAAGGCTTTGCCATGTGGTGTCCCACAAGGGAGTGTTTTGGGTCCCTTGTTGTTTTTAGCATACATTAATGATCTGAACTCGGCATGTGCATGTGATTTATTTTTATATGCGGACAATGCTGCATTGCTGGTATCTCATAAGAATAAAGCAACTGTAGAAGATAGAATAAGCGCGGAGATTCAAAAAGTAGCGGGGTGGCTCTCCGATAATAGGCTTTCCCTTCACCTTGGAAAGACTGAGTTCATTCTTTTCGGAACTAGACCCAAATTGAGAATTTCACCCAATTTTGAGGTAAAATTTGGGCAGTCAGTAATTACGGCAAAAACAAAAGTTTACTACCTTGGATGTGTTATAGATAATATTTTGTCAGGAGAAGATATGGCCATGAAAGCACACAATAAGATTACCAACAGAACAAAATTTCTGGCAAGAAATGCAAATATACTGGATTCAGCAACTTTAAAAACCTTGGCTGGAGCATTAGCACTATGCCATTTTGACTATGCTGCCACCTTCTGGTATAGTGGCACTGGACAGTCTCTTAAAAGCAAACTGCAGACTGCTCAAAACAAGTTAATTAGAGTCGTTTCGAAGCTGCATCCCCGCACTCTTTTGGATTCAGTCCATTTCAAAATGATTAATTTATTAAATGTGGAAAAAAGGGTGGTGCAGATTAAAATGAGCATTGCCCACAAAATAGCTTTTAAAAATGCTCCTCCCTACCTTGCTGACCGTTTTAATCCAGTGAGAGCTGCACACTCTCACAATACCAGAGGCAGCCAAACAAATTTTGTTCCCTTGAAATTTAAAACGAAGTTCGGGAAAAATACCTTTTCATACACTGCAGTTTAGCTCTGGTATGATCTTCCCGTTTCTCTCAAATTAATCTCAAATGAGAGAAATTTTAAATTCAGTCTTAGGAAATGGCTGACTAATTGAAGATTCTGTGCTTTCTGGTTCCAAAAAAAAAAAAAAAGTTTTCTTTTTTAATCTTCATTTTTAAATGAGTGAAGTTTCTTTTCCAGCAGAGAAAGAAAGGGCTTTATTATTTTCCATGGAAAATTCTTTATTTTAAAATGTGTGTAATATGTTGAAATAACTGAGGGGCATTTATTACCAGTGTTACTGCATCAGTATGTCCAAAACTTCTTGACTCTTTAATGAAGAAAAGTTTGTCATATATAGAAATAATGATTTTAGTATAATTCATGATAATCCCACAGATTACAGTTCAGTGTTTTTACAGATTATTATCGGATCAGAGCAGGTTTGACAGATGACTCCCTCCTCCTCCTCCTCCTCCTCCTCCTCCTCCTCTTCTTCCTCCCTCCCACCCGCCTTCCTCCTCCTCCTCCTCCTCCTCCTCTTCTTCCTCCCTCCCACCCGCCTTCCTCCTCCTCCTCCTCCTCCTCCTCCTCCTCTGTCTCTCAGGCGGAGCTCGGCGTGTCCACCAGCATCATTTCACCGTGCTGTACCCAGACCTCTGAGCGCTCCGGGGCGGCTGTCTGCGCCGACACTTGATGGGACGAAGGTGGACCTTCCCCGGCTGGGATTTAACCCTCTCCTCCCTCCTCCACTCTCGGCTGCAGATGAGCTGAACGGTCAGTAATTCTTCAGCCTAGTTTGGGAGCATTTTTCCGCTCTGGTGTGTTTGGTGATGCCTCCGGACTGGAGCCGCTCCGGGACGCACCCAAACCCGACAGGTGCACCTGTTAAACAGGACCAAAGACTATGTGAAAGCTGGCTGCGCGCAGACATGAAGGAAAACTGAATCTCTTTGTGGCAGTTTGAAGTTTGTATTTTTTTTGACTGATTATCAGAAACCAGAGATGGATCGATCATTTTGGAAAACGCAGCAGTTTGATGTCACGGGTTAGACAGAGCCACACGATGCTGCTTCCATTTTCGAGGTTACTGTGTTTGTGGCTGTGCAGCGAGGTCGTCTCGAGTCAGCTCAACAGGCAGAAAACAAAGACGACTTTCAGCCCTCATTATGAATCCACCGCCGCTGATCGGAATGCGCAGAGCCGGAGATGGCGCACAGTCATCGGGGAGGACAATGGGGGGACGCGCGGGGCCATTGCGCAGGCCTCGAGGCTGGATACTGTAAACATGTCTTCCCCTGACCTGCTGGGGACACAGATACCCCGGCGCGCTGTGCGTAAAGGCGACGCGCAAAATGGAGCGCGGCGCGACCGACGGTTACCCCCAGATGGAGCTTTACGCACGCATGTAAATGAGGCCGGTGAGACACGTAGTGGTGGATGCAGCCCGGGAGAGGTGCTTAAACAAACCCCGCATGGAAGCACGTGTAGCCTCGGGAGAACCGGGCACAACCGGCGGCGGAGACGCAGCGCAAAACCCAGCCGGAGGAAGCGGAGCGAGCCGCTGCAGGACGGAGCCGCCATGGCGCAGGAACAAGAGCCCGGACCCCCCTTTGGACTCAACACCAGCGACTACGAGGAGGAGTACTCTCTGCCGGACTTCCCCGACTCCACGCCGCTCGTGCCGGTGGACCCGCGGACCAGACGGAAGCAGGTGAAGAACCCATTCTACCCGCTCACCGCAGAGTCGTACGGTGCGTACGCGATCATGCTCACCGCCGCCGTCATCTTCAGCGTGGGCATCATCGGGAACGTGTCTCTCATGTGCATCGTGTGTCACAACTACTACATGAGGAGCATCTCCAACTCGCTGCTGGCCAACCTCGCGCTCTGGGATTTCGTCATCATCTTCTTCTGCCTGCCGCTCGTGGTGTTCCACGAGCTCACCAAGGACTGGCTGCTGGGGGAGTTCTCGTGCAGGATCATCCCCTACCTGGAGGTGAGAGGGGAGGGGGGAGGGGTTGGTGCTGCTCAGTGTGCATGACTTAGATGTCAGGTGGGAGCAGGTCTGACAGCTGTTGATGGATGCTGATGAGAACACACGGTTTGAAACACCTTAAACAACAGTGTACACTGTATTTGAACCATACACTAACAATACAAGTAAGTCAAACATTGCACAGCTTCAGAACTCATATCTGAAATGCAGATTAAAAGGTGTGTAATATTCCACCTGTTCATCCTGACCATTCAAAGATCCCTGACCAGTGATATGGGGCAAACTCCACAGTCCTAGTTCTGCGCAAAAACACTCACCAGTCTGAGTTAATCAGATCAAAAGTGCGTCTTTCAAAGTTAGTTTTTCTCCTGGAGTCTCCTTGGTGAGCTGTGATGGAAGGAAAGTAACACAAAGATGAAACATTTGTAAGGTGAACTTTAATCTCTCTGAGGGGCAGTCTGAGATACAGACAGTAGTCATGAGTACAACAAAACACACAGTATCCAGAATCATGGACATTAATGGTCACTGCTGGTTAGGGTAGGTGATAGCAGACGGGACAAAAGACATCTGTTACACTTAGTGTTGCATTTACGGAGGCAAAACTTCCGCCCTGGAAGCATCTGAAACTTGGAGGGGATGTTGAGAGTCTGAGACAATCGACCGAGCTTTAGAACTGAGCCTCTCCTCAAACACATCCTGCAGGTTGTTAAAAGTAACACCAGTGATCTTACAGCACAACTTCAGCACTTCTTCCAACTTGTCCTTGTTTTTCAGGCTCAGATCACCAAACCAACAGACAGTGTTAAAAGAATAAAACAGACTTGATAAAAGCAGAATAGAACATTTTCATGATTGTCCTGTCTACATAAAAACTCCTCAGCTTCCTTAAGAAGAGCAGGCGTTGGTTTCCCTTCTTACAGATGCCGTCAGTGTTCACATTAAAATTCAACTTGTCATCCACGACAGTGGTCCAATACTTCCACTGCTGCCACCGGCTCCCCCTCCATCACACAAGGAGCAGGAAGGCAGGGCCTCCTCTGAAAATGTGTGTAGTGTGGAAAAAAAATACATATTCCTTAAGTTTTATGGCCAAATTCTCTCCTTTTCATCCTGCACCACAGCTCAGCAACGAGACTTGGCACCAAAAAGACTCCATATTATCTTCAGCTGAACTTCAGCACGCATTATTTCAGGATTTGTCACCCATCAGTCATTAGATTCACTGTATGAAGGGATTTCCTTCCAGCGAGAATGAACAGGGGGAACAATCACAGCCACCAAACAAATTTAGTATATACATATTATATGTATACATTTATAGACTCAGAAAAAATGTGACCTTTGCCTTTAAATCAGGATCTTTAACTAACCTCAACCACACTGTATAATAACAATAATAAACTGTATTTATATAGCATAGCATTTATAGAGGTGAAGTCTGCTAACAAGATAAAAATGTTTTTACATCACTTCATTTGATATTTTTAAACTCAAAGAACTAAATGTCAGAACTAGATTATTTAGAAAGTGATCAAATTAAAGTGAGATGTTCATAACAGATGATATTTTACAGTTAATAAAATATTATTTACTATTTTAGTTTCATGTTGATGTGAGCAGGTGTCAGAGCAGAATCAGGTGGAGAGCGGCTCCAGACTGCAGTCAGGGTTTAAATCAGGTTTAATGTCGCCTAATGTGAAGGGTCTTTAATCTGATCAGTGTCAACAAGACACCTGCTAAACATGTGACATCATGCCGTCCAATCAGAGTGAAGATCAGGATTAATGAGGAGTCTCTGAGACTGAGATTAGACAACAATCATCACCACCCCCCAGTAAATGAAGGAAACAGGAGGTCTGATATTATTATTGTATGTTCTGGGTCTGTTTCTTCTGCTTTGGGCCGAGGCTGTTAAATGAAGGCTGGAACACGAATCTGTGACTCTGTGAACTATGGGGTGTGACGTGCAGAGTGTAACTGGAGCTGTGATGTTGGAGGTTTAGCCAGAATTAAAGAGATGGTGAGCGCTCACTGTGGCTGCGTCCTGCAGCGCACAAAAACAGCTGATGCTGCAAAACAGCAGCAGTTAATATATATATAATCTGATCTGACAGATTTCACTTCTTTTAGGCTAATACAGATTTACAGACCTAGAAGCAGCGACTGTGTGTGAGTGTTTTGCAAAATAACATTCAGTTTAAGCGAGTTTATGAACAACAAGTCCCCAAGTCTCCTCTCTCACACCAAGTCAGTCTGCTCCTGAGCTGCAGATTAAATCAGTGACACCGTCCATGTTTCTCATATCTATACTTTTCATATGAAATATATTGTGACTGAAGGCCCGCTGCTGACGCCTCAGTGAAATTTAGCAATCATCCCCATGTTCTTATGATCGTGGATGAGTCATTGAGCCGTTTGGAAAGTGCAGACTGTGTTGATGCAATTGGACGCTGTATCTTCTCCTCTCTTTACCCGCCTGGTTTTGGCGCTTTAGCTCCACTGAACAGAATTCCAGGGTTCCCACAGTCATGGAAAACCTTGAAAAGTAATGGAATTTCACAATCACTTTTCCCAGGTCTTGAAAAGTCATAGTATTCGTCAGAATCTGTTGTGTTCTGTCTGGGGGAGTAGGATTGCCACATTAATGTGTGTGAGGCTGTTCCCTCCCCGGTCCCCAAACCAGACGGCTCACAGCAGGAATGTCGGTTCAAAGTTATTTATTAACAGTAAGGTGAAGCAAAAGTAACTGAGGGTGAAGCAAGGCCAAAACAGCCAGCTAAACTCTGAACATACTAACTACACCTTTGTGAGAAAAACAAAACAACATTCACTAAATCTGGCTCCCTGGGACGCATCAGAAACATGAGGAAAATGTACAAAATAAAATGGCAGCCCACTCTACAGCTTCAGAGTTAAGTTCAAAACAACAAAGGTAAACTGACGTCACTACCGAGGAACTAAAGCTTCAGGTTTGACACAAACACAATACGGGAGGTTATGGAGCCGAGGACAGGAACGCTGCTGCTATCAGTCCACTGTCAACCAGCCTGTTGGGAAGCAGAGGGTTTTAAATAGCACGCGGTAGTTGGGGAGCCAATCAGCGGTCAGCACTCTGAGACCAAACCCACACCTCCAGCCACTCACCTACCACCCCTGTAGTTAAGAGACAAAGACCCTCGGACAAACAGAGCACTCACTCTCACACTCAAACATGTGAACGACTGCAACACTTCAGAATTCACCAGAGCCATAACAGTTTTGGAAAAGTCATTGAATTTCATTATGTATAATGACTTTGTTACAGTGTTCGTCTGTGGATAACCGTCCATGTAATGTAAAGGCAAATTCATTTTCTGTAGCTGTCAGTGTGACGGAGCTTTAATACGCATCGATGTGTGACAGCGTTTCAGTTACCATCACATGTATTTAGTGGTTCTCTCCCTGGGTTTGTGGGCAGCTAGCTGAATTATGTTTGAACAGAGTTTGAATCTGATTATGTTTCAAAACACTCTGCAAATGGAGCAAGAAAAAAACTTTATTATGTGTCCTTGAAGGACATGGAAAAGTTTGGAAAATTCGTCCATAAAAATGTGTGTGAGCCCTGGAATTCTTAAAGCTACATATTTTAACTATAGCGTGCTTCCATCTTTGAGGCAGCAGTTTGTGTTTGACACCTTTGTGCTCAAAGGCAGCTCCATAAAATAATGGTTTTCCCAGTTTGGTGTGAGAGACTGTAACTGGTCTGCACAGACCTCAAACCCTCCCAACACCTTTGGGATGAGCTGGAGCCAGACCTGATCTCAACATCAGTGTTGCACCTCACTGACGCTCTGGTGTCTGAATGGGAGCAAATCCCTGCAGCCATGTTTGAACATCTGATGTAAAGCTGTTACTGCAGCACATCAGTGTCCATACTGTTGGGATCAGATGTCCACATACTGTTGGCCATGTGTGTCCACACCCTGTAATCTGAGTGTTGGTGGTGCTGATGTTGTTGTTGAATCAGCTGAGCACCTGAGACGTTCGCAGCAAGTTATTAACATATTTATTATGGGATTTTTTAAATATGTGAGGTCTGGAAACAAAAGGTCACGTTTTTTGAGTTTAATCCTCTTAACAGCAGCAGCTCTTTGTCTGAGATGATGACCTACATGACATCAGTTATACTTTACTGATGTCACCAGCTGTCCTCTTCCCTTTTTGTATTCTGTATTTCATTCTTTTATTAGTATGATTTTTATTCAAGGGTGGTCCATCCTTTAATTTTGATTTAAAAAGAAATATGATATATTTTCACTCAAAACCAGTCTGAACTGTAAGTCTGATATTAGATCTGTCAGTTTTTTACTTCCTGGTTGATAAAGTAACACATACAGTACAGAGTGGAGACTGAGCTGCAGATCTGAGATCAGTCCTGTCGTCTCCTCTGATTGTTTAATGGAGCGAAATCACACAAAATAGCAGAAGGATTAAATACAAGAACTGCTGTGGTGGTCCGACCCCCCACACACACACACACACACACACACACACACACCAGGGTGTATGCAGGTCCTTAAAAAGTTTTAGATGTCTTCAATTCAATTTCAGAAACATAAGGCCTGAAAAGTCATTAAATAGTCTTAAATTTGAACTTGTGAGGGCTCAGTTGCCACAAACATTTTATCATATTTACAGTTGGGAAAACACCTTTTTTTTTTTTAAACATAAAACTACTTTATTCAGTGTTTTTACTGATTTAAATCACCTGGTCAGTTTGTTTTGGAGAGGAAGAGTCCTCTGTGGATAATTTGGTTCCTGTTAAAAACCTCCTGAACGTCTGGATCTGAATTTATCAGAGAGAAAAGGGTGAGCATACTTTAGCAGGTGCTGGGCTGGTGGCCTGTCTCTGATGAGCAGAACAGCATCGGAGAAACACTCAGTCCATTTACCTGCACAGTGGAGCTACAGTTACAGCTCAACTGGACCATTTAACTGGACTACTGTCCTTGTCCCAGTGCACAAGCACAGGAGGGGAATTGATTTATTGACTGAAGTATGACTCCTCTACGACAGGTGGAGATATGCCCCCTTTCAGCTTGTTAGTATTGGACCTTTTTCCTGTTGACCTATTACATCACAAACCAAACAGTGGACATTCTGTGTTTCCCCCTGTCCATTTAAAAATATTTATCTCTTTCAGCTGACACAGCAAGAACATATTTGCAACATGCCAAACAGCATTGGAGAAACTCTGATTTGTAATGTGAACCATCTTTATTCAGTGTTTTTACAGGTTTGAATCAGAGGAAGAGACCTCTGCAGATAATTTGGCTTCTGGTAAAAACCTCCTGAACAATGAACACTGACGGAATTTGAACCTGGAAAAGTTTCAGCTGATTCCAATCTGCGATCCTCACTGCTAGATTCCACAAAATCTTACATGCTGCTCCTTTAAAATCTAAAAGGTTAACTGATCTAATTTCTCGTAGACAATATAAAGTAACGTCAGGAGTTGCTTGAGAAACATTGTTTTGAGTAACAGAAGCTAATAGAACAGCAGCTAGACAGGAAGTGACATCATGTTATTTATGATGATGGCCTTTACAACAGCGTAACACTGTGTCCACCCACCACACACACACACACACACACACACACACACAAACAACGGGTCTGCTTGTCTGTTGTTGCTCATACAGTGTGAAGTGTTTACAGCAGCTGAGACACAGCAGATGTGTGTGACGCAGAGCAGGAGAGAGAACAGTGTGTGTGTGTGTGTGTGTGTGTTTGAACTGTGTGTTCCTGCTCATCCACTGATGTAAGAACACACTTCAAGTTATGTGGTTGTTTGTCACATCTTCACACAGTTCACTTAGGAGTCGGGATTTCGGTTAAGTTAGGGAAATGATGTCTCTGGAGTTCAGTCATAGCTCAGTTACATCATATCTTCTTTACCTGTTTCATCAGTGTGAGATTTAAAGGAGGTGGTTTCAGCTAAAGTTAAACTCTGCAGAGACTTAAAGTTGCAGCAGTGAGATATTAATCCAATACAGACATTATATCCACTTTGTTTTTTTCCCAAAGTTAAAAAATGATGATTTAAATTGGAAATATTGAGTCAAAAAATAAAAGTTAAATATACAAATCTAATCAAACACAGGCTGCCAACTTTCAGTGATCAACAAATTTCCCACTCTCATTTCTAAAGACAGAGTTCAGTTTATAGAAGATATTACAACCCAGGCACCAGAATAAATGTTGGTATTTTATGTTTCTGCAAAATACAGATAAATTAAATCTGTTTGTTTCATATGACAGAGCTGTGTGTTTTGTTTGAAGCTGATATTTTGGAAATTTATGTTCCAATTTTCAACTTAAACCTTAAACACTGAGGATAACACGTGGTTATGGTGAAGAAAGGATCATGTTTTAGCTCAAAATACACAGTTTGGTCGCAACAAACTCAGCTGGAAATGTCACTTTGTTGGAACAGTGGTCTGCTGCCGACTAGTCTGAGTGGGCGGAAGTTCACCGCATAGATCAGCCTCTCATGGGGCGGAACAAGCCACCGCTGAAGTCCCGCTCTACCACCTCCAGTTGTGTAGCAGTTTTCAACACGTTCTTTACTAACTTTTGCGGTGTTTGATCTTGCGGGGATGTAGCCATTTTTCTGCCATGGTTCGCGTGCTACACCAAAACCTGTTTCCCCCTGGCAATATTGCAAGCACACCGTTGCTGTGGCACCGCCCAGAACGATTGTGATTGGTTGAAAGAAATAAAAAAAGCCGGGGCGTTTTTTTCTCCAATCTTAAAGTGAGAGTCGGCCCAGCCAGACCTTTCTTTTCTTGAGAAAGGTCTGGTGAGCGAGACTAGCTGCCATCTGAACTGAGTCTCCACCATCCCCTCCACCTCCTGATGAGACACCCCGCTAATATATATTTGTTTCGAACTACAACACTTAAGAAATGTTTAAATGTGCCAGTGCACCATATGCATGGTTTAGAGAAACATACAATGCCAGAATTGGCCAATCAAAAGAGGCATGACGTGACAGGTAACACAACAACGTCAGCAGGGGTAAGGAGTTCCTGGACCTCATTGTTTTTTCAATGTTTGAATTTTGCTGCTGTTCTTCCTCTTTGAGTTAGCTGCTAACTGCTTACAGCTACTTTTTAAATGTTCTACAGTGGTTCAATAACATGTTGCCAAAACGTTGCCTCGGTGCCGCCCATAATCCCGTCCTGTTCATACAGAGGTCATTTCAGTGCTGTTACTGCCTCCCTTTCCTGGCTTAGTGGCGAAACAACTCTGTCCCCCCATTACATGATCTCACCTCTTATACAGAAGTCAACAAAACGAGGACTAGCTAATCACAGCATGCGTTAGGTTCCATAATAACACTTCGTAGCGATAGGTGCAAATAGCTGAATAGCTGAATTGTGACCGTTCTCATCTGGGTGCAAATAGACGCTCCATTTATTTGTTTCTGCCAACACAGAAAATTGTTCCACTCTTATTTCAGAAACATGCAGAGAACTGTTTCCTGTGAGACGTGTAACCTGTAACCCTTCTTCTTTTCACAGGTGGCTTCTCTCGGGGTCACGACCTTCACACTTTGCGCTCTGTGCATCGACCGTTTTCGTGCTGCCACCAACGTGCAGATGTACTACGAGATGATCGAGAACTGGGCGTCCACCACGGCCAAGCTCGCCGTCATCTGGGTGGGCGCTCTGCTGCTGGCGCTGCCTGAGCTGCTGATCCGACAGCTGGTCACAGAGGACAGCGACCCACCCGACGTGACGCCATGCGAGCGCTGTGTGATCCGGATCTCCACTGACCTCCCGGACACGCTGTACGTCCTGGGACTCACCTACGATGGCGCTCGCCTCTGGTGGTACTTCGGCTGCTACTTCTGCCTGCCGACGCTGTTCACCATTTGTAGCTCGCTGTTTACTGCCCGCAAGATCCGCCACGCGGAGCGGGCCTGCGTCCGTGGCACCAAGAAGCAGATCCAGCTGGAGAGTCAGATGAACTGCGCCGTGGTGGCGTTGGCGATCCTCTACGGCTTCTGCATCATTCCAGAGAACATCTGTAACATCATCACCGTGTACATGGCGGCCGGCGTTCCCAGGAGAACCCTGGACATCCTGCAGCTGGTCAGCCAGATGCTGCTCTTCTGTAAGTCCGCTGTGACGCCGATACTGCTGTTCAGCCTGTGCCAGCCGTTCACCAGAGCCTTCCTGGACTGTTGCTGCTGCTGCTGCGACGAGTGCGGCCCGCCCCGCTCTTCCACTGCCGCCACCAGCGACGTCGACAACGAATGCACCACCACTGAGTTGGAACTGTCGCCATTCAGCACCATCCGCAGAGAGGCGTCCACCTCCTACAGCGCTGTGGGGACACACTGCTGAGGTCAGAGATCACCAGCGTCAGGTGGAGCTTCCTCTGGGTCGTTCCTCTGATGTCATCGGAAGTTTGGTCGGTGGACGCGTCGACATATCAGGCTGTCAATTCCTGAGTTTTTTTAAAAACTGTTGAACACGTTTGTGTTTGCTGACGGACGGACTGAAGACGTCACTGTCCATCAATTCACTGTTTACAGAGTTTATATATGAAAGAACACAGTCTGTGTTAGTTAATAGCATTTATGTGTTTAGTTCTTTTTAATTAACTCACCAGTATTTTTACTGAATCTGCACTCGGCCTGACTTTTTGTTCATTTTCACTGTGTTGTACAGAAGCTGAGAGCAGACGTGGATCCTCAGCACAACGTAGACTATGAGCCCATTTACACCTGGTATTAACATGTGTTTCTGTGATCTGAACACAAGTGAACAGCCGAGACACATCGCCGTCCACACCTGCGTCTATGATGTGTCTCCAGTTGACAACTTGTGTTCAGATTTCATTACATCACTTACTGTAGAAGGTCAAAGGGCATCGCGCACAGTTATTATTATGTCCATTCTCTGGCTAGCTACTTGCTAGCATGCTAGCTAGTCACGTTAGCAGTTGTGTCGGTTTCTCCCTCCATAGGGCAGAACCTCAACAAATTCATCATATCATCAGTTCATCACATCTACGTTTCCGGCGCTGTCTCGGGCAGCATCCTGCTAGAGTTGCTCTTCGTCGTCTTGTGCTGGCACGCTGTCACCAAACAACCACCACACCCTGCAGTGATGACGTAGTCCTCGTCAGTGAAACATCGGGACACATAAGTGTTTACACTGCAAAAGATCCGTAGACAAATGCATCTAAAACCACCTCGTCAAGCGGTTTGAGTGATCGGATCACAATGCATCTTGGTGGTTGTTCACACTTGTGTTTAGAGCTCTACTCTTGTGATCCGATCACCCAAACCACATGTTGATACCAGGTCTAAACAGGCTCAATGTCCTGAGCCTGAAACATGTGGTTGTGATAGTTAAATTTGGTAACGCTTTATTTTACGTGTCTATTGTTTCAATTCAATTTCCTTGGAAAAAAACAGATTAGTTTGTTTTAGTTAGTTGTGTTGAATTTATAAGCAATTGTTAGCTTTCCTGTAAAGAACCGCCTGATTTAAAGCCAAACTATTATTATTCTTCATCAGAAACTTTAACCCTCCATATACTGCATGTTGAACTGTATTTTTTCCTGTAGACATTTTGTATGTTCAGCCGACATTTTGCAAACTCACTAAAAGACTTCCTGTGCTATGCTTGCAGTTATTTGGAATTCATCAATTAATTGGGCAATTAATAGTGCCACAGTTCTTTTCAAGGAAATTGTGGGCCCCTAAATTAAAGTGTTACATTAAAGGGATTGTTTGGATAGTATTTTTGAAGTGAGGTTGTATGAGGAACTTCTCCACAGTCAGTGTATTACATACAGTAGATATCAGTCGGCAAGCCCACAGTTTGGGGAAGCAGACAAGATTACCACCACGGACGTTAAGCAATGTACTGCTGCGGACGGGGGCAGCAGCAAGACGTATTTTAGCCACCTAAAAAAAAAATCAGTATCAGTTTAAGTGTATGCTGTACTGAGAGTATTTCACTGCTTTGCCTTGCCGCAGTCAGTCCATTGCTACGGGGAAGCTATTAACAGCTCAAGTTTCTCATCTTTGCTTTAACTAGTCCATATCCATTGGTAGCTTTGTCACCTTCTACCTATGCCAGTCCTCAATGCCTATGTGCAGTTTCACATAGATTGACCACGTCAGTGAGTAGAAAAACGTGGGACAGACAGAATGACTGACTGACAGAATGACTTACTGACAGTTTCCGTGATTATGTACAGCATACCATACCATGACTTAGTCATACCAAACATTAGAAAACACCAACATTGGTCCACAGGGGGAGCCACAGCGATCGGTCGCATTTTAGCCATTTTGAAGCATTTTTCTGTTGTTATAGCGCCACCCAGTTGCCAATTAGAGTTAAATTTCTCCAGTCACCTTGAGGCGTCCTGTTCTACATATCTACCAAGTTTAGTAAAAATCCATATGGCGGTTAGGCCTAGATAAGAAATGAGCTCTCTAGCTCCCCCATTTTGTTTGATGGGGTCAATAATGGAGGGGTCCCCTCAGATTATGTGTGGTCATATGCCTACAAAGTTGCGTGGTGATGGCTGAAACCCTTGAGATGTTATACACCTTTATGTGATGAGCCACGCCCTCCGCAATATTCATTGCCTTATAGAAGCTCAGTTTTAGTAAGTTTTCCAACTTTTGCCAAGAGGGAACTTTAGATATTGGTCCCTAGATTATGTTCACCCAGTTTCATGCAGATCGCTCAAACTTCCTAGGAAGAGATCCATTTGAAGTGTTTTTCAAAAAATTCAAAATGGCGGAAAATCTATATAAGCGGAAGTTATGGGTTCTTGAGGCAAATGTGTTCCTCATGAGGAGAGGCGTCTCTGTGCAAAGTTTCATGAGATATGCCCATTCAAAGTTTGCAATTTCAATCGGTTGCTATAGCGCCCCCCTTTGGCCAATTGATGTAATATTGCTTCATTCACATCCTCCCATGACCCTCTACCACTGTGCCAAATTTCACATGGATTGACCAAGTCAGTGAGGAGAAAAACGTGGTACATACACACACAGAGTTTTCGTCATTATATAGTAAAATAAAGCCACCAGACTCCATTGAGGAAAGCAGAAATTTTGGCTTGCTGGTCTACCCCTGCCGAACTGTTTTAAACATCAAAGCCACACAATAACACAAACTAACTAACTGATCAAGGCGGCCGTAGACCAGCAGCTCCTGCGTTCATCCATCCAAATTCATCCACTTATCCGGGTCCAGGTCGCGGGGGCAGCAGGTCAAGCAAAGCACCCCAGACGTCCCTCTCTCCAGTGTTGCTTTCCAGCTCCTCCTGGGGGACTCCAAGGTGTTCCCATGCCAGACAAGATATATAATCCCTCCAGTGTGTTCTGTGTTCTCTACGTCCCAACGCTCACCTATGGTCATGAGCTCTGGGTAGTGATGGAGAGAATGAGGTCACAGATACAAGCGGCTGAAATGAGTTTCCTCTGTAGGGTGTCTGGGCTCAGCCTTAGAGATAGGGGGAGGAGTCAGACATCTGGAGGGAGCTCGGAGTAGAGCCGCTGCTCCTTCACATTGAAAGGGGTCAGTTGAGGTGGTTTGGGCATCTGATCAGGATCCTGGGCGCTTCCTGTTAGAGGTGTTCTGTTTAGTGATTTTAAGTCACTATTTTTCTCAACAGACTCTGGCTTTCAAGAAAGCGATTTAACAGCCTCAGTTTCTTGATTCTTGGCATCGCTGTTTTAATTTAATTTTAATTTTAATTTAATTTTATATACTTTATTAATGCACAAACAGGACCTATACATGCACTAAGTGGAGAGATGTCAGAGTGGGCTGCCCATGACAGGTGCTCTGAGCAGTTGGGGGGTTCGGTGCCTTGCTGAGGGGCACCTCGGCAGTACCCAGGAGGTGAACTGGCACCTCTACAGCTACCAGTCCACGTGCCATATTTTTGGTCCGGACGGGGACTTGAACAGGCGACCCTCCGGTTCCCAACCCAAGTCCCTATGGACTGAGCTACTGCCGCCCCCATGCAAAGCTGTGAAAATATATAGCATGCACTTAAACTAATATTGATTTTTTTAGGTGGCTAAAATACATTTTGCAGCTGCTTCTCATCCACAGCAGTACATTCCTTATCTTTCATGTTGACTCCAGCCTGCTTCTCCAAACTGAGGGGCGTGCCAACTGACATCTACTGTATATATATTACACTGACTGTGGATAAGTTTCTCATACAACCCCACCTAAAAGTCCAAACTATCCTTTTAAATTATTGTTTTGGGTAAATAAGCATAAATCGTTACCATGAACCACGGCTGCTTTCAGCTCCTGTTCTTTTGTTCTTTTGGATGTTGCTTTCTTTCTGTGAGTGAGTCAGTGGGACGTACAGTAATATATTGAAAATGGCTGTTGATGCTGTGTTGTGTTTGCTGATGATGCACTCTGAGTTACTGTTTTTTTTTTTAGCCACAAGAGAAGTGTCACTTTAATTAAAAGTATTTTAAAATAGACTTTTTAACCCTGGCGTACACTGAGACAGCTGATTTATTTGTGCGGTGCATCTTCAAACAGGTTGATGGCAGCTCAGTTTGTTCTCACAGAGCGGGTAGGAAGAAGTTCAAATTTCAAATATAAAGAAAAAGTGACCATCTCAAACTGGACAAACACAAAGTGTCAGAGCAAAATTAGCTGCTTACAGTGGAATCTTGCGAAGTTTGGATTTGCTCACAGATGATTAAGTGTAGGGAAATACACGCGCAGAAGGAAACATATTAATCCAAAATGAAAAGCAGAGTGAGACTCTTGATGGCCGTCCATCCAGAGGACACAGCAGCCATTGTTTGTACAGTTCAGACTCCACACAACATGTGTCCTCATCCACTCAGAGTTACAGTCAGTCTGACAAACAGCTGAACGCTCCTCTGGCGTGAACAGAAAGCAGAGACGACTCACTGCAGGAACATCATGAATTATGGAAATCATTTTAAAGCCAGTTTTGCAAAAGCGACAAAAACTAAAACTGCAGTTTCAGTTTATTTGCTGCGTCACGCTCAACACAAACCTCAGCTGCTTTTTCTCTCACCATCGTTTCGTCATCATCGACGACGCCCAGCCGGGGAGGACACAGCGCGCCATTGTCCTCGCCTCCCGTCGTCATGACGACAGAGGGAGTCTGCCTCTCAGCTGGCCGCCACAGTGAACAGTGCTACAGTACCACAGGCAACACATTGAGGCTCATTTATTGTGAAAGAAGTTGTGTCCGATGGTTTCTGGTCTGAACCGGTGCAGTCCGGCCTCTCACAAGCATTTTATAATATTTGGGGCAAAAAAACTGGGTAACAGTATCTTTAAATTCATGCCAGTGGGCAGCAGCATAAATGGTCTGTTGAGCAGTACTCTGTATAAACCAATATCTGCAGATGTATCTGTAGGCAGCGGTACAAGATTTTGCCCCCTGGTTTTCATCTGTAGTCCGAGTACCAATCATGTTTGAGTGGCCAAAATGTAATCCCGCAACCCACTGACTATCACCTGAAGACGATTCAATTACCTATTCCATTCTGACCTTGGGACTTCCAGCCCATACTCAGTGCAGATCTTATGTCACTTGGTTATGGCGTTCCATGTACGCTCTTCCTGCCTGCACCTTACACCTTGTGATTATGTGCTGAACTGTCTCAGGAGCATCTTTGCACAGCCTGCACCTGGGGTCCTGTCTACTGTGGTAGACCCCTGCTTCTGTTGATCTCGTACTAAGTGCCCGTTCCTGTGCTGCCATGACTAGTGCCTCTGTGCTGTTTTACAGTCCAGCCTTTTCCAGCCACTGGTAGGACTTCTTGATTTCAGCCACTTCTTAAATCTGTTGGTGGAACATGCCATGCAGGCACTTGTCCTTCCATGATGGTTCGTCCTCCAGCATCAGAATAATGAAGAAAGGTGATTGAAGTGACTTTGAACGTGGCATGGTTATTGGTGCCAGACGGGCTGGTCTGAGTATTTACTGGGATTTTCAGCACAACCATCTCTAGGGTTTACAGAGGATGGTCCCAAAAAGAGCAAATATCCAGTGAGCCAAAATGCCTTGTTGATGCCAGAGGTCAGAGGAGAATGGCCAGACTGGTTCAAGATGATAGAAAGGCAACAGGAAGTCAAATAAGCACTGGTTCCAACCAAGGTGTGCAGAAGAGCATCTCTGAAGCAACAACACCTTGTCCAACCTTGAAGCAGATGGGCTACAGCAGCAGAAGACCACACCAGGTGCCACTCCTGTCAGCTAACAACAGGAAACTGAGGCTACAATTCACCAAAACTGGACAATAGAAGATTGGAAAAACCACATTCAGATGGAAGCATGGATCCATCCTGCCTTGTATCAACGCTTCAGGCTGCTGCTGCTGGTGGTGTAATGGTGTGGGGGAGATTTTCTTAGTACCAACTGAGCATGGTTTAAACACCACAGCCTACCTGAGTATTGTTGCTGAGCGTGTCCATCCCTTTATGACCACAGTGTACCCATCTTCTGATGGCTACTTCCAGCAGGATAACGCACCATGTCACAAAGCTCACATCATCTCAAACATGACAATGAGTTCACTGTACTCCAATGGCCGCCACAGTCACCAGATCTCAGTCCAATAGAGCACCTTTGGGATGTGC